ACCCACGGACACTCCACCACTGAGCTGCATCCTCTGACCTTTTTGTTTTTTATTTTGAGATGAGGCCTTGCCAAGGTGCTAAGTTGCCCAGGCATGGCTCAAATTTGAGATCTTCCTGCCTCAGCCTCCCAGAGTGCTGGGATTACAAGTGTGTGTCACGGTGTCTGCCTTAACTTAGTAGAATAATTGTTGCTATTGACAATGAGAAAATTGTTTCATGTTTAATTTTTCATTTGGGAAAATAGTTCATAAGAAATAATACCTAGTAATACTAATTCATTGATTGCCTGTTATCTGCAGGATACTGAACGAGTCCCTTTATATGCACGAGCCCTCATTCTCAGTCATGCCACAAGGCAGTACTCACTACTGTCATTTCACAGATAGAAAACACAGGAATTAGAAATGAGTAGCCCAGCCAGGTGTGGCGGGCACAGCTGTAATCCCAGCACTTGGGAGGCTGAGACAGGAGGATCACTGTGAGTTTGAAGCCAGCCTGGACTACACAGTGAGACCGTGTCTCCAAAAACAAAAACAAACACACAACAACAACAACAAAGAAATGAGTAGCCCAAAGCTACACAGCCAGTGTGGACCTGGGCTGGTATTTGCACCTAGGTCTGCTTGGTTTAAAACCTTACCCTACCTGTAATCCTAGCACTCTGGAAGGCTGAGGCAGGGGGCTTGTAAGTTTGAGCCCAGCCTGGTCAGTTAGTGATTTAGTGAGACCCTGTTGCAAAAATAAATATATAAAAATTTAAAAGGTGGGGGTGTAATTCAGGGCAGAGGCCTGGGTTTAATCCCTCCATGGTCAGGCTGGGTTTCCCCATGGGAGCTCCGTGGCCGCTGCTGAACCCCAGGTTAAACAGCACTTATTCCCTAGTATTTGTAGCAAAATCCTGGCCAGTGATCCCCTCAGGCCTTCTCAAGCCGTGTCCAGAGGGCCCAGGGCTCTGCTTGGCTGGATCCTGAGCTCTTTATCCCGAGCTGTAAGATGGGGCTGCTCCCAGCCGGGCCTGGTGAGAAGGAGGAGGGAGGAAGCTGATATGTTAAGCTAAGAGAGAAGAGCTGAGGGCAGAGGAAGACTGGGGCAGCCCAGGGCCTGGGGTGGACCCTGGAGGGACACACTGGGAAGGGTCCCCGGGCAGCAGGAAGCAGCTGCAGGTGCGGGAGGGCCAGTAAGGCACAGTGGTTGACCCCAGGGTGTGAGGGGAGGTTACCGGGGTGCACAGGAGGCCTGGGGCTTGCAGAACACTGTGTCCCCGTTAGGCTCGCCTTGGTGACACGAGGGCCACGGACCCACTGCCTGAGCCGGGGGAGGGAGTCTGTGCCCGGGCGGGGTGGCCCCGGTGCAGGTTTCCCTGTGGAGAGGACCCCAGTGGGGCGACCCCGGCCGCAGGGTGGTCTGGGCAGGAGGCTGGGGCAGCCGCAAGTATGTTGGGTGCGCTTCCCAAGGCAGGGACCCCCGCGCCCCCTGAGGGAGAAGCGAGACAGCCGGCAGGGATGGACGGGTGGGTGTGGGGCCGGAAGGAGCGGCTCGCCTGGGCCGTCGGTTGCTCTCAGTGGCTCCGGAAGTGTCTTCCAGTTCATGGAAGGGGCTGGACCAGAAGACGGGGCTGCCCAGTAACCGCAGCCCAGGCTGTGAATAGTAGCGCAGGTCAGGGGGCTCTTAGGTCCGGTCCAGCTGTGGCAAGCCTGGGCTCCCCGCTGCCATTCGCTGTTCCACGCACCAGAGTTACGGTGGATCCCGGCGCGTCACTGATTTCTCCAGGACTCAGTTTGTCCGCCACAGAAATGGAGATGTTGCTGGAACCTAGCTTGCAGGATTGTTGTGTACATTGAGTGGGATAGTGTATTTCTTGTTTTTAGTTTTCTGGAGAGTGTGCATTTCTCCATCTGCAGCATATTGAGAATCTGTACCCTCCCCACTGCTACCACCCCAGTCTGGATGTTGACTTTTCTTGCTGGATGGCAACCGTCTCCCAGTGATCTCCCTATTCCAGCATTTATTTGTTCGTTTGTTTGTGTATGTGCTATGGAAACTGAATCCAGGGGCTCTACTAGTGAGCTACATCCTCAGCCCTGTTTCTTTCTTGAGACAGGGTCTCACTGTTCCCCAGGCTGGCTTCAAACTTGGGATCCTCCTGCCTCAGCCTCTCAGGTAGCTGAGATTGTAGGGATGTGTCACCACGCCTGACCTGTTTCTACTTTTTTGCTAATAATATAGCTGTTTTATTAAGATCATTCACCTACTCTACACTTCACCTATTTAGCGTGTACAGTTCAGCAGTTTTTATATGTTCACAGGCTTGTGCAGCCATGACTGGAATCAGTGTTAAAACATTTCATTACCTGCCAGGTGTGGTGGTGCACCTGGACAAGCTCCAGGCCAGCCTGGGCAACTTAACCACTTGGGGAGATCCTATATCAAAATAAAGAATCAGCAGGGCACAGTGTCTCTCCCTCTTGTAGACCCCAGATTCTGAGGGGCAGAGCTTGTCTGTCTTGTTCACTGTCCCAGCGCCCTGCCCAGAGGAGCTGGAACTCTGAGTTCTCAGGGGATGCTTGGTGAAAGAGTGTGCAGCAGAAAGAAGCTCTGATTATTTGCTTTGTTGTTGGTACTAAGTATTCAGTAAATACAGTTAATCCTGTATTGAAAGTGTGATATTTACTGCAGTAAGATGTGGGTGAGATGAAAATCAAATTGATTAAATGAGTTGGACGTAGCACTGATTCACTGGGACTGGTTGATCCAGAGTCTTGTCTTTTGTTTTGCTTTTTTGTTGTTTTGTTTTTTTGGTGGTACTGAGGATTGAACCCAGAGCAACATCCCAAACCTCTTTTTAAACATTTAAAACAGGGTCTCACCGGGCATGGTGGCTCATGCCTCTAATCCCAGCACTTGGGAGGCTGAGGCAGGAGGATTGCCACCAGTTCCAGGCCAGCCTGAGCTACATAGTGAGTTCAAGACCATCCTGAACTACATAGCCAGACCCTGTCTCAAAAAACAACACAAAACAAAACAAGGTCTCAGTAAGCTGCCCAGGCCGGGCTCACACATGGGATTCCCTTGGCTCAGCCTCCCAGGGTACGGGGTTTACGGGTACCGTACATATGTCCCACCTCGTCTGAGTTCAGAGACCTTTCACCCGTTTTGCAGTCAGATTCTAAGGAAGGAGAAGATGAGGGCGTTGTTCTTGGTTTGGTGCCCCAGAATCTGGGCCGCGCTTTGATTCGGAGGGGCGCTTCAGAGAGGGCTCTCCCTTGATGCATGTAGACAGTGCGAGTGCGCTGCTAAAATGCAGATGACCCACAGGGCGGGAGGAGGTCTCCCGGCTCTCCCCTTGAGAGAGCGCCAGGGTCGGCGGGCTGGGCCGCCCCTCTTCCTCTTGCTCCGCATGGAGAGTTGCACCTCTCAGCCCCTTGCTTTTCCATTCAGCGCAGCTTGCAAAGAGAGCCACACTCCTGGCTCCACCCCAGTCTGCAAAGGCTGTTGGGATTCATTTTGTGCGTGACCCCTGTTTGTTTCACCAGTGTCCCTCTGACGCACGGGGGACAGAAACTCATTTCCGGCCCTTTGCAACGACAGTGCTTGCTGCGGGGTTACTCCGCTCCTTTAGCACGCGGGCGCACCGTGGGGTAATAACTCACAGCGTGACCCGAAACAAACAAAACCCTGTAGGAACAGGGGCCTGATGCTCTGTGGCTGTCTTAATTCACTTTCACCCTTCCCTAGAAGAGACCGCGGTTACAGGGATCATCGGGGGTCCTCACAAGAGGAGCGGCGGTCAGGCACAGTGTCGTCGTCGGTCCCCCCCCCGCCCCCAGTTTAACACGGCTTCAGCAGAACCCCGAGGCCCAGCGTGGGAGATTGGCGCCCAGGAACGGGAGAGGGAGGCCCTGGGGCTCCTGGATCTTCAACTTCCCAGCGGCCCGCTGGAGGGAGAGATGAGCGCACCTGCCGTCATCCGGGGCTCTCCCGCCCCGGTTTACTGGAATGAGGGTGCTATTTTTAAGAAAGAGCATCGTGTTTCATCTTGGAAATTTTGAGTGTCAGAGCAGGCGGCTGGCTGGCTCAGCTCTGCGCGCTGAGGGCGCGGTGGGCTCCGCTCCACCCGGCCATAGGGGAGAGGGAGGATGCGATTGTGTGAGTCGTGGTTGCGTCCGGTGGCGCTCGCCTCAATTTGCGGCATCTCGGGGGCAGGCAGGCTGGGGATTCTCCTCCCACTGGGAAGCGGGTGGGGCGTTGGGGTCGCTTCCCCGGAGGAGGCACCTGCGCTCTCCTGCAGGGAAGGGAGGTCCCTCTGCTTCGCCAGGGCCCCGATTCCCAGGGCTCCCTTGCCTGGAGCGGAGCGGGGCCTGGAGCGGGGCCTGGGGGGGGGGGGCTGGAGCGGAGCGGGGTACCTTGGGGCGGTGCTGCCGCCGCCCGTGTGGGGCCTGGCTCAGGGTCCCTGCAGCCGCTCGCTGGCCCAGCCCCGGCCGACTGTTTCTGCCCCGCCTGTGTGCTGTGAGAAAGGAGAGCCGGGCGAGAGGCGCTCTCCCCGTTCCTGTATGTAGCGTCTGGCGTGGCCAGTGGCCGCTCACGTGGACCGAGATCCTCACAGTCGGGCAGAGGCGCTGCGCCTCGCATCTTGTCTTAGCAAACTCCCGTGCTGGGTTCTGTGCTTCCCCCTCTCGTTTGCACAACTTAGTGAGTGATAATAGTGCTTGCTGAGACGTATCTACTTATTTTTAAAGGAATTCTGCTTTTGGGTAGTGATTTGTGTTTTGGAACAAAGCATGTTTTATTTGAACCACAGCTTCTTAGCGTCTGCTCTGTTTGTTCATCTCCCTGAAGGACAGCAGTTGGCCTGGCACAACCAGGCCGCTCTAGAGAAAATATTCCGAGGAGAATGGGGGAGGCAGGAGTGACCTGAATGGGAGGGTGGGCCGGGCCTGGGCAGGCGCGGGCGTGGCGGGCTGTGGGCGTGGTCTCATTGTACGGCCTGTCTCTCCCGCAGGTGCTGTGAGTGGCTGCGATGCTGTGGTGGAGGGGAGCCCAGACCTCGCACTGTCTGGCTGGGACACCCGGAGAAGAGGGACCAGAGGTACCCTCGAAATGTCATCAACAACCAGAAGTACAATTTCTTCACCTTTCTTCCCGGGGTAGGTGCAGTGTCCACAGTCTTTTCCCATAGTTTCTTTTCTTTTCTTTCAGTACTGGAGACGGAACCCAGGTCCTCATATAGGTTGGGCAAGGGCTTTGCCACCAAGCTATGTCCCCAGCCCTTTTTATTTTACGTTGAGACAGAGTCTCCCCAAATTGCCCAGGCTGGCCTCAAACTTGCCATCCTCCTGCCTCAGTCTTCTGAGTTTCTGGGATTACAGCACCCAGCTCCCCACCACAGATTTATGGGACATCGTACCAGACGGAGTCCCTGTGGCAGAGATTGTGAACACCCCTGTCTTCTCCCGGCCACCCTGGCCCCTGAGCTTTGTCTCCCTGGCCCGAGTGTCTGGGGAAGGCTGCCGGCTGACTGCAAGGCTGTGATACCCAACTGCCCACGAGAATAACCTCATGTTTATTGGATATAATGAGCCTAAGATTGAAGAAGGTATTTGGGGGACCAAGCAGTATCACCAGAACATTGAAAAAGTACCACAGCAGTTAAGTCTTCTCCCCTCCTTATCATGTAACCTGTGGCCAATACAGGAGAATTGGGAAATAAAAATACATACAGGGGGAGAAAGATAAAACTTAATCCTACCATCACAGAGGGAATTTCTTCGGTTTTTTGAGACAGGGTCTCACTCTGTAGTTCAGGCTGGCCTTGAACTCACTGTGTAGCCCGGGCTGGCCCCAAACTAAGCAGTTCTTCTGCCTCAGCTTCCTTCCTGAGTGCTGGGATTACAGGTGTGTGGCACCACAGCCAGCCCAAAAAGGAGAATTTCTACTTACAGTTTTGGCAAATGTTTCTGGAGTCGTAGCACGCCTACATTAGCTGACAGAAGTCCTAGATGTGCCCTTGGCAGACCTTTCGTCTGAGACACATGCACCCGCACTCTGTCTACACCCTGTCTCTTTTGGTGTAGCGTGGCCTCTCTGCACGCACCAGTTTAACTGCAGAAGAACAGCAGTAGTTGGCTCCAATGCAGGAAGAACATGGCAGTGTTGTCCTACAGGGAGAGACATATTTTAGTGTAGTTCAAAGTTAATTTGAATGGTTTTGGAGGTAGATTTTTTATTTTTTGGTACCAGGGATTGAACTTGGGTCCCTGCACTTGCGCAGCAGGTGGCAAAACCACTGGCCTGGAGGGAGATTTTGCCGTATTCATTGTTAGTTACCATAAACCACAACTGGGCTAAATCCCCGTATCTGCAGTGAAGGAAAGTTTTCTCTCTTTTGCAGAATGAGACTGGGCCCCTTCCCTGTCTCCTGGCCTGGCCATAGTTACTGAGTGGGGACGGGAGTAGCATCCAGCTGGCAGGGGCACCCAGGGAGCGTATGTCACCGAAGTCACAGGGACAGGCGGGAGGCAGAAGGACTTGGAATCGCCTTAGCCTTGAAGAACCAAGATGCTTCCTCTCTTCTTTCGCTCACTGGCCAGGGCTGGCTCTGTGCCATCAGCCTGGGTCCCCTGGCAGTCCGCAGGTTCTGGGGCAGTGCTGGAGAACCTATGGCGTGTGCGCAGTGGTCTGTTTATGTCGTCAAAAGCTCTAAGTGAGGCTCCCATCCATCTCTGTTTCAGGGTGTTCCAGGGTGTCAAAATCATGTTGTGGATATAACTTTTTGTCTTGCTTTTTTGACTCAACATGACAGCATAAGCACTTCCTACTAAAACTGCTTCCTAAACAAGGTTCCACGTTGCCTGCCTGGACTCAAAAAATGTATTGTTTTAGAAATAAAAACTGAGCTGGCCATGTAACTCAGTGGCGCCATGCCTGCCTGGCAAGTGCAAGGCCCTGAGTTCGATTCCCAATACCAGAGAAAGAAAAAAAGAAGAAATGAAAATTGAATGGATACAGTTGACATTCCCTGCCTGCCCCTTCCCCAGTTGGTTACTCAGCCTGGCCCCACCCAATAACAACTCTTCTCAATTTGGTGTTTACATTTTCCAAGTATATATCATTTAGTTTCGCAAATGGTATGTTTATTGCACGTGTTTTCCTAAATAACACATGGAACTAGCTGGGTGTGGTGGTGCACACCTGTAATCCTGGCACTCTGAGAGGCCGAGGCAGGAGGATCCTTGAGCGCAGCCTGGATAATTTAACAACCTAGTAAGACCCTGTCTCAAAATTAAAAATTTAGAAAGGGCTGCAGATGTAGCTCAATGGAAGGGGCCTGGGTTCAATCTCCAGTATGGGGTATGGTGGAGAGAGGAGGGAAGGAAAGAAGAAAGAAAGGAACTATTTAAGCTTTGTGTGAAAAATAGCTAGCTTGCTTTCTCTCTCTCTCTTTCCGTTTTTTTTTTTTTTAATTTGGTACTGGGAATTGAACTCGGACCCCTGCCCTTGTGAGGCAGGCGGCAGAACCACTGAGCTAAATCCCCGGCCCTCTTTCTGGTTTTTTGAGATAGGGTCTCAGCATGTAGTTCAGGCTGGCTTTAAACTCACGAGGTGGCCCAGGCTGGACTCGAGCTTGCAGTGATCCTCCTTCCTCAGCCTCCTGAGTGGTGGGATTATAGATGTACGCCACCACACCCAGTTTATAAGTTGTATTATATAGAAGTGGTTTTACAATTTTTGTTTTTATTTACTTATTTTTGAGACAGGGTTTTACTATGTAGTTCAGGCTGGGCTTGAAGTCACTTTGTAGCCCAGGCTGGTCTTGAACTCCCAGTGATCCTCCTGCCTCCTGGGTTACATGGGGTGTGCCACCATGCCCAGCCTTACAGAAGTGTTTTTAATGTCGCTTCCCACTAAGCATTCCAAACCTTGACTGTCAGCCAAGCCCTGACGTCTCCTCTCTGCTGTCTGCATTGCAGGTGCTGTTCAACCAGTTCAAGTACTTCTTCAACCTCTATTTCTTACTTCTCGCCTGTTCCCAGTTTGTCCCTGAGATGCGGCTTGGCGCCCTCTATACCTACTGGGTTCCGCTGGTGAGTAGGCGGCATTGTCTGTTCAGAGCCTTAGAGGCTAAAGGCAGGAAGTTCTTCCCATCTCTCCCCCAAGCAAAACTGGATGGTGACCTTCTAAGGAAGTCAGCGCCTTCAGCCAGCAGACTGGGAGTGCACTGGATTGTATTGATTGATTGATTGATTTTTCGGTACTGGGGGTCGAACTCAGAACCTTGAGCTTGAGAGGCAGGTTCGGTGCCACCGAGCTAAATCCCTGGCCCCTTTTTTGAGACAGGATCTCGCTATGTAGTTCAGGCTGGCCTGGAACTCATGGTGATCCTCCTGCCTCAGCCTCTGCATGCTGGAATTACAGACGTGCACCACCATGGCTGGCTGAGTCCTCCTTAAAGAAACAAAAACAACCTTATTCTTGGTAGCAGGTGAGAGATGAAAAGGACCTGGTGCAGAAGTCCTTATGAAGGAGAGCGAGCCAGGTGCTGAGGGGCGGTGGGTGGGTATCTGCACTGTGCGTGCTGTGTTGTGTGGTCAGATGTGCTGCCGAGAACGAGGTGGGGATTCTTTCTTCTGTGCAAGCCACAGAGGTGCTTTTGGAATGCAGTGCAGTTTTCTTCTCTTCCTGTAAGCGCGGCTGGAGGCTGGGAACTAGAGAGAACTTCGTCCAAGCTTCCTTCCTTGGGTAATAGACTCCTCTACCCGGGGAACTCACCACCTGCAGCCCTAGGCACCTACCGGCTGCCAGGAAGTGGCAGCGCACACAGCCCGATGCTGATGGGGCTGGGCGGGTGGGGGACAGAAACCTTGAGGGTGTGGGCCGAGTCCCACCCAGATGCGGGGAGGTGCTGCTCCCTTCCGGCCAGGGCATCATGACTGGGAGTTAGCACACACACGAGTTAGAAACTTGTTTCCCGTGAGACACCCTGACTCGATTTGAGGTTTTTAGTTCCACAGCTGTTCACCACATTCTGATATGAAATGAAATCACAAATTACTTATTTTTAGAAAGTTAATGTCCAGCATATATAAAATGTCATTCATCACGTTGCCTTTTATCGGTTGGCTTTTAAAAGTGTAGTTGTAAGCTGGGTGTGGTGGCGCACACCTGTAATCCCAGCACTTGGGAGGCTGAAGCAGGAGGATTGCTGCAAGTTCCAGGCCAGCGAGGGCTACATATTGAGTTCAAGGCCAGTTTGAACTACAAAGCAAGACCCTATCTTGGAAAAAAAAAAAAACAGCACCAAAAAAAAAATGTAGTTGTTTGAAAGGCATCTTGTTGGGGCTGTAGCTTGGTGCAGAGCACTTGGCTGGCATGCCCGAGGCCCTGGGTCCCATCCCCAGCACCACCATCACCAAGAAAGCAAAAAAAGGTTTCTATGTTTACACGACTCAGGAAACAAAACTATATCCAGTGGAAAATCTCTCATCCTGCCCTGAAATACTGTCATTTGATTTTGTTTGTTTGTTTTTGTCCATAGTCCCTTTATGAATGAATAGGCACAATATCACAAAATATTTAGGTCTTGGGCTGAGGATTTAGCTCAGTGGCACCGTGCCTGCCTCACAAGCGCAAGGTCCTCAGTTTGATCCCCAGTACCAAAAAAAAAATTTAAGTCTTCTCTGCTTTTTAGAAAAATGTAACAAAGTATACATGTTTTCTGTTTCGTTTCCAAGGTAGCTTCCTCTTGGTTTTTAAATGTTGGCAACTCATCTGGAAAAGAGAAAGCTCTGTGATTGCTGGACCTGTGCTTCTCCTAGCGGTCTGGGTTCAGGGGCCCCAGTGCAGTCCCTGCGTGGTTGAGGGTGGGGAGCTCCTTGTGGCGTCACAACTCCCCTGAGCCCCAGTGGAGACACCCCAGACCAGGGATGGCGAACCTTTGAGAGACCGAGAGACGGAGCACCTGAACCGCAGTCCAAACCCTCTTACTTGTCACAAAGTGACAATGCTGCAGCCGAACCTAACCATCCGGTGCTCGGCTGCTGGGCGTGGTGGCTTGTGAGGCAGCAGAGAGGGCGCTGCGTGCACATGGTGGGCTGCTGGCCATGGGTTCACCACCACCGTCTGGGACCCGCCTCTCAAGCCTTGTGCCTTGGGCTCACCCCAAAACCAGATCCTGCCACCTTTCTAACACCTTCCCCGTGGATTCTGTTCATTTGAAGAAGCGGAAAAACACACAGCAGGGGGATAAAGATCACATGCATAGCCATTAACTAACCCGACATACCCCTTTATGCTTCTGGCGTGTTCCCTTCTAGTTTTTTTCTACATATGCATGTATTTTATATACACTGTAACACACACACATATGAAGATCTTTTATTTTTATTTTAAAATTTGTCTAGTTTTATTTTCAATTTTAATGTTTTATGTTTGCAGTATATAATGATTACATTCATTGTGGGAAGTTGGTACATGTACATGGCACATCTTCATTCTTTTTATTTTTTTGTTTTTTATTTTGTTACCAGGGATCGAACTCGGGTCCTTGCGCTTGCGCAGCAGGTGGCGAAACCACTGTGCTAAATCCCCAGCCCAAAAAGATGGATATGTGATTGATTTCCTTTTTTTTTTTTTTGGTATCAGGGATCGAACTCGGGACCTTGTGCTTGGGAGGCAGGCAGCGGAACCACTGAGCTAAATCCCTGGCTCCTTCATTCTTTTTATACTTTCCCCATCTCCTAGTCCTCTTCCCAATTGCAAAAGATCTATCTGCTATTATCCATCTTTTATTTATTTATGTATTTATTGGTACCAGGGATTGAACTTGGGATCTTGCGCTTGCGAGGCAGGAGGCAGAACCACTGAGGTAAATCCCTGGCCCCTATCTATCTTTTATTTTATTTTATTTTATTTTATTTTTGGTACCGGGGATCAAACTCTGGACCTTGCGCTTTCGAGGCAGGCGCCAGAACCACTGAGCTAAGTCCCTGACCCCATCTGTCTTTTATTTTGATCTTTAAATTACTTATATTTTGGATTTCTCATAAGAGAAACTATTCAGTATTTAAACTTGTGTCTGATTTATCTCATTCAACATTATATCGCAAGGTGTGTGCCTTTTCCTACAAATGACTCAAATTTATCTTTCCTTATGGAAGAGTAGTACTCCATTGTGTATAAATACCACGATTTTTTATCCATTCATCTGCTGATGGATATGTACACCACTGCCAAGATGTAGCTGGTATGAGTTGTGCTGCTATAAACATGAGCACGCATGTATCCCTGTACTGGAATATCTTTACATCTTTTGGGAAGATACCTAGATGGAGAAGAGATGGGTTGCATGACATTTGTACTTTTAGTTTTTTGAGGAGTTACCATACTGATTTCCTAGTGGTTGCACTAGTTTACATTTCCAGCAACAATGTGCCTCACCCCCCAGCATTTGTTTTTACTTGATTTCTTGACGATAGCCATTCTTTCTGGAAGATGATAGGCAGCGTTGTTTTCATTTGCATTTGTCTGATGGCCAGAGATGTTGAACATTTTTTCCTGAATTTATTGGTCATTTGTACTTCTAAGAAGGCTCTGTTCATTTCAGTTGCCCATGTTTTGATTGGATCTTTTTTGGGGGGGTATAATTTTTGAGTTCTTTACATATTCTGGATATTAGTCCTGTGTCCAGGAAGTAGCTGGAAAAATTTTTTCCTGTTCTGTAGTTTGTTTCTTTACTCTATTGGTTGTTTCCTTTGCAGTGCAGACACTTCTTAATTTGATACAATCCCATTTGCTGATTCTTGCTATTTCTTGTGCAGTTGGGGTTCTGTTCTGAAAGTCATTGCCTGTGCCTGTGCCTGTGTCCTCGAGTTTTACCTGTTTTATCTTATAGCAGATTGTGTTTCTGTTTTAATATTTAGTTCTTTGATCCATTTTGATTTTAGTTTAATGCACAGTGAGGGTGTGGGTCTAGATTCAGCCTTCTGCAGAGCAGCACCATGTATTAAAGAGGCTGTGTTTTTGGCTCCTTTGTCAAAGATGAGATAACTGAGTGTGCCTCGGGTTATTTCTGCATCCTCTGTCCTGTTCCATTGATCACATATCTGTGTTTGTGCCATTACCATGTTTTTTTTTAAAGTCACTATAGCTGTATAATGTAACTTGAAATCCAGGACTGTGATGCTTCCTGCTTTGCTCTTGTTACCCAGGATTGTTTTTGCTATTCTGGGTCTTTCCTGGTTCTATATGAATTTTAGAATTTTTTTAGTTCTATGATTGGTACTTTGATTGAGCTTGCATTAAATCTATTATTAGTTTTGGTAGTATGGCCATTTTGACAGTTTCTGTTTTGCCTGTCCAGAAATAGGGAATGTCTCTCCATTTTCTGATGTCCTCTTTTCAGAGTACTAGTTTTCATTATAGAGGTCTTTTACTTCCTTTGTTAGGTTAATTCCTAAGTATTTAATTTTTCATGAAGCTGTTGTGAATAGTATTATTTTCCTGATTGCTTTATTGGTGGGTTCATTATTTTGTTTGTTTGTTTGTTTTTTGGTACCGGGGATTGAACTTCAGTCCTTGTGCTTGCGCAGCAGGCAGCAAAACCACTGGGCTAAATCCCCGGCCCGGTTCATTATTGATATATAGAAATACTGTTGATTTTCTATCCTGCTACCTTGCTGAATTTATTAGTTCTGAGTCTTTTGGTGGAATTTTTGGGGTCTTCTATGTAAAAGATCATGTCGTCTGCAAATAAGGATGGTTTGATTTCTTCCTTTCCTAAATGTATCCCCTTTTTTCTTTTTTCTTTTTTTTTTTTTTTTTGGTACCAGGGATTGAACTTGGGACCTTGCGCTTGTGAGGCAGGTGGCGGAACCACTGAGCTAAATCCCTGGCCTCCTATCCCCTTTTTTCTTTCTCTTGCTTGATTGCTTTGACTAAAGTTTCAAGTACTACATTGAACAGGAGTGTTGATAGCCGACATCCTTGTCTTATACCTGATTTTAGAGGAAAAGCTTTCAGTTTTTCCCTATCTAATATGATGTTGGCAGTAGGTTTGTCAGAAATAGCTTTCATCAGGTAGAGATAA